TAGACTAAGGGAAGGGCCGGGGGACGGGGGGGGGGAAAGGAGAACTACAAAGAGTGCCCTGGTGGAGGTCCCTGAGTCCCAGCAGTATCATAGCCATCTATTTATAATAAATAGAACAAGTGGATACAATTACTCAGAAGTGACTTCTATTGCTTAGTTCCAAACTCACTGGTCCACAAACCCTGATTCCTTTAATTATAAATCAAACATTCTTGTGATGCAACTTTTTTGTTTGTTTTTTTTGTTCTAGTAGCAGCTTCTGTACACCTGCATCAGATAATTCAGTTTGAAAAAGCTCCCAATAGAATGCAGTTTCATAAAATGTTCTTCTCTATATATAGGCTTTACTTTATTCTTTTTTGGGCAATTTTTATTATTATTATTTTTTTTGCAATCAAGTTCCTTCCTTTTCCTTCCTTCCTTCCTTCCTAGACAGGATTCTGCATTCTAGACTGCATCACTACTGATTCACCAGAATCTTGTGTCTTAAAGGAATGAATGGCAGATAAAATTACAGCTTTACTATTCAAGAAAGTACAAGAGGCTGGTTTGAATTATGTGAAAAATATATTTCTCATAGCACAGTAGTGAGAGCAAATCATGCCCTTTCCAGGAATTCTAGTGATGTGCCTTGGCAAAGAGTTGGAAATATTGATATTATAGAATATGTTTTTCTACAATCTAGAAATTTTTTTTCATAAACCAATTAGCTATCATACATCTGACAACATGACATTACCCTCCCACAAATTGTATGCACATGAAACCTTTTAATAAATGAGTGCAAATAGATGCAGTTTAATTTCTACACAGGAAATCTACAAATTTACTCATGTAGATTTTTTTGTTTTTCTAAGGGTTCCAATTTTGCTTGGAGAGTTAATTTTCTATAAACTCTAGGCAGCTATGAAACTGCATGCAAATAAATGGGCAGCAGGACCATTTCTGCAAGTGATCCTCACCCGAGCATGCTTATTTCTCATGTTTGTGCCATGGGAATTAGACTACAGTGATAAACTTGAATAGATAAAGCCAAGAGTAAAGAACAGCCATGTGTGGGATCAGGTTGCAGGCTTTTTCAACTGGTGATAGAAGAGTTCTTATATATGTGCCGTAACACTTCATTGTGTAATATTTTTTTATCTCTTAAAAGAACAAATGCAAATGGGTGGATAATCCTATATTGGATAGATAAATAAGAAAGGTGGACCTACAAAACGCATTCCCTTCCTGTCATGGGATTTTTATAAGTTATCAGGATTTGATGAAATACACAGAAAAATCAAATTGCTTCCATCATTCAACATAGACATTTGTTTATTTAATTTATATGTCTTTCTATCTGTTTAACTAACAGCAGTTAAAAACAAGCAACAGCAAAATAAAATACACAACCAGAAGCCAAGGTAAAAAACAAATCAATCCACAATTAAAACCCCGTCTCATGGGCTCTCACTGACACCCTGGCCCCCATGCCTGGGAACATAAACATGTGTCCAGGGTCTTGCAAAAGGCCGGCAGAGCCCTTCCTTAGAGATGTGCAACTCCAGCTTGAAGAGAGATTTAAAAGCCACAATAAAGATGGTTGAAAGTTGTCACTGCAGAGTACAAATTGGAGAACATATGAATTACAGTATCTTGGATGTGCTTTGCAACTCAGAATGTGGCTTGGCAGAGCTTCTTTGGGACAGTCCGTAACACTAGTTTAAATAAAAATATATATTAATTGGTGAAATAAATATATATGCAAATAAATGCAATATAACATTAGCCTTGATACTGTGAATGTTTATAATATATACAAAATCCAATATCTTTCACAGAAATATAAATGGTGAGACAAATAGTATGTCTGCAAATATGAATTTGTAGTCATTATTTTCTCCGTTTTCTAAACATGACTGATGGTTTGGGCATGATATATTAAAACCTCACTAAGTACATATCCATTCATCTAATACAATTGGATGGAGATTATAACACAAACTATTAATGTCCAAATGGCAGGGCTGTACTTGCATTGTTTGATATTTTTGTCATAACAATGTTAAAGAGTCACTGTCAAAGAAAGAATAATTTTTTTATCTCATTGGCAATAAAAACTCGTTCTCCTGCTGATCTTGGAAAGACACTAAGATGGCAGATTTCTTTTAAAACGTGGCATTTTGCATCCTCCTTTACTATCCAAACCATGTACAGTGAAATTAAGGTGGTAACACATTTTCTTCCACTTCATTAGGGAAGGAGGAAAACACTTTAAAATACTAGGAGCAGCACTTTGAAACAAGTTTAGTAATTTGTGACATTTTCCAGGTTGGGTGGAGACATAACCAAGATATTCTTAGATGTGCTTCTGGAATAGTCCAATTTTCCTTTGTTCCATTGCTGTTTCTGCTGTCCATTCACTCACTTTACCCCAGTGAATGCAACTTACAAATGGAAAGGCAGGAAATATGGAGACAGATTTTCTTTCTTCTGGAACTTCTGGGTTAAATGGAGCAGGAGAAGGACAGTTAGTGGCTCTGGGGTTTGGCAGTAACCATTCCTTACCCACCAACCTATATACTCAGGTTTGAGCCTTGGCAGATGCTAGTTCTCTGTTTAATGGTTCTCTAGTTCTCTGTTGCAATAAATAATTGAACAATCATTCACATGCCATAGAGAACTAATTTTTATGAATCAACTGAAAAAGAATACTGACAAAACTTCTACCAACAATACTGTTCTTTCAAACTACATGAACTGCAGGGGGCCAAGAAGGTATTAATAACACACACTGTCCCCTAGCATACATAACAATTATTTTCCAGACAGTGGTTACGATTCCGGAAATCATAGTCTCCTTAATATTTTAGACAAAAAATTAAAATGAGAGGGGTAAACATTGTCATTGGAAACATTTTTTACTGTCCCAGATACCAAGTTAATTTTTATAGGGGTGCGAGCAATTGGTATTAGCTAACAAATTCCACAGCTTATGCAGGTAAATTCCCCTCACTCTGCAATAGACTGGACTCAATGCCACCACCATCCCACAAAAAGAAGATTTCAGTATTGACATGGCTATTGGCTGTACAGCAAAGAATTTTATCTTTGGATATTATGGAATTTGTTCATGTCATATGCTGTTCCACAGATATGAAAATGCTTCCAAAATGTAGGTTGTTTCCAGGAATATGTTAAAATATATTCACAACAAGTTTCCAGTAAACAATGTAGTAGCCTCTGATCCCTCCTCCCCCTCAAAAAAATTTTATTTATGTATTAATTCAACACTGTGTCTATCAGGAAGGTACAATTCCAGCCACTCCAAGGGCCACTTTATTACCACTAGCTGAATGATGAACGGCACTTTTTGGGGAGGGTGGAGGAGTGGGGTGCTTTGCTATGGTTTGCATGTGGCCTACATTAATGGTTAATAATAATTACAGGCATGAAAATCTCAGTATATTTATCTTGAAATAAATATGTAGTATAAATGACTGAAATTGCAGAACATTCTGAAATGTTACTCTCGATTCATGCAGTGCATCGTGCACTACTGGACCAACATGGATACTATTCAACGACAATGCATACAACAGGACTTCAGAGCAAGCTATGACAGACCACATAATTGAGCATATTCTGCCATAGTTCACTTGTTTGCTCTGTAGTGGGAATACCTGACATTTTATTTATTTTTATAGTATATTTATTACCCAACTCATCACTGATATACGGTTTTGCCAGGGTGCTTCATTACTTGCAAGGTTCCCAACAGCAGTAAATATCTTTGTCTCTATGATCCCCATGACCTAAAAATATTGATTTTTTTTTTCAAAGTCAGGCATGACCCTTTTATTTGAAGGAAATGGATGGAGACTAAGACATCTGCTAAAAATTCCCAATCAAAAAATTTGGGGGGGGGGGAATGTTTTGATGAGGGTATTTTGGGGAGGAACATACATGTAATTTAAATAATTATTTTAACTTCTCATGCTATCTATCAGAAAGCTTTGCTCTGTGATTATAGTCATTTGTTTTAGATCCATGGATTTCAATTGGATGTGCATATGCTCGCTGAGTGCTGGATAGTAACCAATATCTGCACATCTGCAACTAGTTTTGTTATTGTTTTGCACTAGCAGGGAAAAATTGAGTCAACCCTCTGTTGCTTTCAAATCATGCTTTGTGAATGCTCCTTGTATCACTTCATTAGAAAAACAGGCAGTTTGTCTCTAATGCTATAAAGATCACTGCATCATATCCTAATTCCTCTTTCATCCACAGAATTCTAGGAGGGTAGTCGCAATAGCTAAATAATAACACAAATATTTTATCAATACAACTACAAGATCCATTATCAATTGAGCTACATATATAGCTGTTTTCTTCTGGGTGAAGTTAGATGAACATAATATGTGGGCTACACAGTTTCTTAGTGAAAAATTCCT